TTCTTAGACTACATTGGAACGACTTCTTTCCTGCTCTTTAAAGTAAATTTTTAGTACAAAATTAAAATTTTTTATTAAATATTTAAGACATAAGAAGTTAATGTTAAAATCCTACAAGAACTCATAATAAATTCTTTGAACTTGACCATAAAATCAATTAATATCATTGAAATCAACACTTAAAATTTGCTCAAGAATAAATTGTGATGTTTAGTGGAATATTAAGATAAATTAATAATTGTTGAAAGAAACTATGCGCAATTAAGAGGATCCTTCCAAAAAGGATTCCCAAAGGGCATGCTCACGATATGAAACCCTAAGAGCTCTACTCATTAGACCTAAATGATTATATATTTAATGCAAAAGTTCATGTGGGTAACAACGATTGCTTTTTTATGTTTTGAAGGTTTTTTTTTATGGTTATTTTAACATATAGTTAGAGATGTCCACAATGTTTTGTAGTGTGTAAGACCATAAATAAACTCATGGAAAATTATACCTATGGTCACGACCTAACTTAACATAACTCATATATCTAATTGGTCATATCAAATGAAGCGCGGGTCTCATAATCTTCATATGAAGAGAGTTTTTTTTTTTTTTTTTTTTTTTGATCTTTTAATTCACAACAGAGCCACTAAAATCTTAATATACATAATTTTAATAGCATCCAAAATATATATACTTCACGGGTCCATTCATATCAAAAAGATTTGTATAATAATCATGATTGTTTATCATTTCCAATAAAATACATTAAATTCATGATTAAAAAAGAATACATCCCTCTTAAAAAGAAAATACCTATAAATGGCAACCCTTTAGATCAAATTTGTAGTTGTCTTACCTTTTCCTGAAACATGTAAACATACAGAGTGATCAGATAGCTCAATTAGGTTACACATAACCCATAATTGTATTCAATGTAAGAAAAATAAAACAAAATGCAAGTTATCATCAATTGGCTCATAAAAACTGATCAAATGTTGAATCAATATTTTTTTTACTATGCTTACTCTTATACATGTATCACACACAATGCAGCTATGATCAAATCATCAAGTGGGAATCATGCTTCACGCCTCAAAATATATGGTGAAAGAATTTATTTTTTATTTTTATTTTCAATCATTATTATCTTGTCAATTCATTATATTCATTAATCAACAATTGAAACTAGATCAATATAAAGATCCAGAACTAATTAATTTCATTATAGAAAACCAATAAACAACAAAAAATATAATTCACATTTCTATAGTTCATAATTATATCATAACGGTAGAGTCCAAAATAATATATACAATAACCACTGTAGCTATAAGAATAAATACATAAACTAAAGAACTGAAATAAAAGCTACATTATCTCAAGCTACATACTCCTTACATAAAATCATTTAAAACACGTAATGAGCGAACGACCCAGCAAGTAACTAACATCTTACAACTTAAATCAATACAAAAAAAGAAAAATAATATCATGTAAATCATATAAATAAAACTATACATCAATATCTATATACTTATATGTACTAATTGCTTAGTTTATAACACATCACATCACAATCTACAATATCAATAACAATGATCCATATCAGTAATAGTAATCAATATCATTAGGAATAGTAACATCATTTATAGTAAACAACATCAGTATAATGTAGGCTACAATATCAATAATAGTAATGAGTAATCATTCAATAATATGTATTATATAATTAATGATCAATATTTTATCAGATATTTATATGAGGGCATCTTGCTTATGCACTTATGACTCTTAATCAATCTCTAGCTCTTTATAACTCCCAATCAGTGCTTTGAAATCTTTACCCTAGAATTGTTATATCATTGTATCATTATAGGGTTATCATTTTATATATCTGATATCAATCAGTACATCCTTTTCTATCAGATTAATATTAATATTGATACAACACATCCTTTTTTCTCTGTCAAACAAGTATTATATTCTAGTACCTATCAATCATACAATTCAGTACATCTTACCGATCACAATACATCATTTTCACTTCAATTTCTTTTCCCGGCCAAGCCATGCGAGTGAAGGAATGAGGGAATGGTGGCAGAGGATTTAAGAAAAAAAAATGTTATTAAAATATTTTTTAGTCGCCTAGCGCTGTAGCGCTCAGTCCAACGTTGTGGCACTGTATACATAAATCAAATTTACTATACAATAGAGACACCAGTGTTGTGGAGGATGTTTCTAGGACCACGGTACTCTCCACACCAACGCCAAAGCACTCTAGTTCAACCATCAATTCAAAAAAATCATATTTTTCATTTAAAATACTTTTCATATCTTTGGGTTATTACATCATGTGTTCGTATGTTTTATATGCCATATCATATTATCATATATGGTAGTATGTCAACACCTGTATCATATGTGTATCATCATATATGCTAGCATGTCATCATGCGTAATGTGTGTATCATAACATATGTTAATATATCATCATATGTATCATATATATGTCATAATGTATGCTAGTATATCATCATATATATTATATGTATATTGACACCATATGTTA